CTCAGTGCCTTGCAGTTCCTGAAGCTGGCTTTGAACTCTCTTTTACTTTTGGCCTCAGCCTCCTGAGTTGTTGGAATTATAGGTGTGTGCCACCACACCTGGCCCAATGGTGTCTTTAGAGGAGATAAGACATGTTTAGAAATGATGTCATTGTTTTGAACAACCAACAATAAAAATTATAAAAAAAAAAAAAAAGAAATGATGTCATCTCTTCCTGATGCTGAGAGACAGAGTTCTGTGTTCATAGTGATCTACCAAGAGAATGATTTCTTACTGGGAATTCTGGGAGATTCCACAGAGATGGCATTCCAGAGTAAGAGAAGGAGACAGGGAAAAATTGATTGGAGTCAGACTGCAGGAAATCTTCAGTGCTTAGTGAGGCTTCATCTGCAGGAAGAAGAGTTTTGGGTAATTTGTGAGCTTGGAATAGACCAGATCTATGCTTCAGGGAGATTAATTTGGCCTCAACACAAGATGGCATGAGATAAGGCAGGGACACTGGGAGGTTGCTGCAATAATCACAAAATCTGCATTGGTCATCCCTGATGTAGCAGACACTGTCAAAGCTAAGGTCCTCCTGTCATCTCATCTCCTCCACTCTCTTCAACCCCAGCTCCAGCATGTCCCACCTCTTCTTGGAAAGTTCACCTACATTGGTTGCCTGCATTGTTTTGCTTCCTAGTGAAGATAGGACACCTAGGAAGTAAATTGGAAAGAGGATGTAGTGATTAGAAATTGTACAGATATCAGGGAATGTTCTAGACAGGGAGAGCAAAGTGCAAATGCCCATGTGTATGATCATGCTTGTGAGTGAACAAAAGGGACAGCACAGATACTGGAGTGACTTTAGTGGGCTGAGCAAGGCTGAGAGTGTAGAGAGATGAGGAGGCCAGGTAAGAGCCACCAGGTCAGGCTTTGCAGGCCATGGGAAGTCCTTTAGATTTTTTTTGGTACCAGGGATTGAACCCAGAGGGACTTAAGCACTAAGCCACATCCCCAGGCTCTTCTTAGTCTTTCTTTGGAGACAGTGTCTGCTGAATCGCTTAGTTGCCTCACTTAAGTTGCTGAGGCTGACTTTGAACTTGTGATCCTCTTGTCTCAGACTCCCGTTTGCTGGGAGCCAGTGCCACCATGCCTGGCAGGAGGTTCTCTTTAGATGTCTCTTTTTCTCAATGAGTTAAGAAGTAAGAACAGCTGCTGAAATTGAGGAGTAGGAGTTAGGGTTTGAGTTTTTGAGCAAAGGGAAGGATTAAAATAGTCACTGAGAAAAGTGGAAGAGTGAATGAACCAAGGAAACAGGATGCCTGGGCAGAACCAATGGATCTTATGAGTTTAGTGGTCACGAAATTAAAATGAGATCAGAAGTGGGAGGGATGGCCCAGTCCTGTTATCCCAGCTACTTAGGAGGCTGAGACAAAAGGATGACAAGTTTGAGGCCAGCCTTGGCAATTTAGCAAGAAGCTACCTCAAAATTTAAAAAGGGGTTGGTGATATAGCTCGATGATAGAGCACTTGCTTGCAATAGACTCTGGATTCAATCCCCAGTACCACAAAACAAACAAATCAACAACAACAAAAAATGAGATCAGAATACACAGTTGTATATTTTTCTCTGTTGGTGTTAAGTTGCCTTGTTTCAGGTATGGACTAGGTAGAAAGCACTGGGGTCATGATTCTCATCATTGACTGTTCATTAGATTTGGAGGGGCACTTTAAAAATATGATGCTAGCTAGGCTCAGTGGTGCAAGCCTGTGATCCCAGTGACCTGGGGTGGTGGTGAGGCAGGAAGATTGAAAGTTTGGGGCCAGCCAGCCTTAGCAACTTAGTAAGGCCCTGTATCAAAAAATAAAAAGACCTGGGGTTGTAGTTCAGTGGTTAAATACCCCTGGATTCAATCCCCAGTAACACCCCCCCCAAAAAAAAAAAAGATGCTGAACTTGTAGCTCAATAGTAGAGCACTTGCCTAGTATCTGTGAACTCTGGGTTTGATCCCTAGCACACCACACACACACACACACACACACACACACACACATATGTTGTAAATGGACACAATACCTTTATTTTGTTTATTTATTTTTATGTGGTGCTGAGGATCGAACCCAGTACCTCACCTGTGAGGCAAGTGCTCTACTGCTGAGTCCCAGCCCCAGCCCCAGCCCCTGGACATCAGTATATTTTTAAGTGTTCCAGGTAATTGTAATACGTAGGTAAGTTGCATCCTGTGATCTGTTGGTTGTCTAGGATCAGGGCGCTGAGGTGGGTAGAGAACAAAGGTCTGGAGAAGAGGAGAGGAAGTCAAGGGACAGAAAGGCCAGGGTATTATAAGGGTGGTTTTCAGTATTCCAGCCAAGGATTAAACCAAGAGTTGCTGAAGGCTGGGTGATTGCATCTTTAAGGGATGGGATGGCCTAGGGCTGGGGTGACCCTAAAGGAGGGGCAGAAGTGGGATCGTCTGATTATAAGAGTTTCAGAGGTCTCAGGGCTTAAGGAAGGAGGCAGAGACAGTGTGAAAAAAGGCAGTGAAGCACAGGGAGGCCCCTCCCCGCCTCTGACCCAGGGGCAGGAGGTGCTCAGCGGGGAGCATGGGCTCAGCCCAGGCAGCCATTCCAGTCCTTGGAGGACTCTCCAACCTGTGCCTTCCCCTCCCCACCAGCTCCAGATTTACCTGTCTGACCTGGACATCCCCATGTGGACACTCTGCACACACCTCAAACACAGTGAAATCCAAGCAGACACCTCTTCCTCCTGCACCTGCTCTCCTCCCGTGTTCCCTGCCAAGTCCACCATCCTCCACCAAGTCGCCAACCCACAATCTGTGTCATAATTTAGAGCCTTTTCTTTCCTTGATCCCCACCTGCAAGGTGGTCATCAGTGCTGCTGGTTTTCCTTCTCCTCAGTGTGTCCACCCCAGGACCACTGTTTTAGTTCATGGCATCTCTCATGCAGACCTGCATCCCCTCCCTACCTTTAATCTTGCCTCTCTTAAATCTTTCCTCTGAACTGTCTCCAGAGGGATCTTTTAAAATTAAACCTGGCCAGATGCAGTGTCCTATGCCTGTAATCCCAGCAGCTCCAGAGGCTGAGGCAGGAGGATTGCAAATTCAAAGCCAGTATCGGGAACTTAGCAAGGCCCTAAGCAACTCAGTGAAACCCTGTCTCTAAATCAAATATAAAAAAAGGTCTGGGGATGTGGTTCAGTGGTTGAGTGTTCCTGGGTTGAATTCCCAATTCAAAAAAAAAAGTCAAATCTGACCATGAAAAATCTGATCATATACCTGCCCTGCCTAAAATCATAGATGTTTATAGAGCAAAGTTCCAGTTCCTTAACATGTCAGCTCCGCCAGGACAGGTAGTTTTGTCTCTTAATGTTCACTGTTGTGTTCCCAGGGCCTAAGACAAAGCCTTACACATAGTTGGTGCTCAGTGTAAATTTCCTGAATAAACAAATGAATGAGGGCTGGGGATGTGGCTCAAGCGGTAGCGTGCTCGCCTGGCATGCGTGCGGCCCGGGTTCGATCCTCAGCACCACATACAAAGATGTTGTGTCCGCTGAGAACTTAAAAAAAATAAATAAAAAAAAAATAAATAAATAAACAAATGAATGAAACTATCACAGTCTGGCTCTTGCCTTTTCCTCAGCCTCATTCCTAATTCCCCTTCTCATACTCCATATTATCATTAATCTCTATGCTTGAGCATGTGTTGTTCCTCTATCTGGGATCCCTTTATCTGGAACTTCTGGTGAACTCATTCATCCTTCAAAACTTTGCTCAAAGGTCACCTCTTCTCTGGAATTGCCTCTGAATTCCTAGAGAGAATCATGACTTTCTTATCTATATTTCTTCAACACTTTGAACTTTACATGTGTTACATGGTATTGTATAGGTATATTCACATGTCTGCAAACACAGCACCTAGGACGAAATATGCATTCAAGGGGACTGTTGTTGCACTGGGAAGTTAGATTATGAATGAGAATGGAAAGTACTGAGATAATTCATACCTTTCTGATGAAGAAATGGTTAACAGTTTCCCACTCCACCCCCAGGGCTTATGCTGGGCCCATTTTACTTTATGTTCCTGTAGATAATCAAGGGTATAGTCCAAGACCAAGCTGAGGGGGGTAAATGACAGGAAGCCTGCACAACGCCAAAGGCATTTGGCAGAAAGATGAACTATGAGCTTTTATCCCAGGAAACAGATTATCACTCCTATTTCACGGGTATCTCAGGACCTACAGTGTAATCAGTAAGAAAGATCATAGTCCACCCTGTGTATGGTGTTGAGCTGTGAGGTGCTGCTTTATCTTAGGAAACAGATTTTAGAGTCCCCATACCTTTTACAAAATGTTAGGCATTATCAGGGTGGGAACCAGAAACTGAAGAGAATATATCCACCCCTCCTCCAAAAGATGTTGGGCCCTCCCTTGGAATTCCCTTGCCATATTTTTGCGGCAGCTGGAAAAGAGTTAGGTGTCTTGAGGTGGTCCCAGAGAGAAAGTTACTCCAGTGTTGAGAGAGACCACAAGAGCCAAAGAAATGATGATGATAGGACTGGGATTGTGGCTCAGCGGTAAAGCGCTTGCCTAGCACGTGCGAGGCCCTGGGTTCAATCCTCAGCACCACATAAAAATAAATAAATAAAATAAAGGTATAAAAATTATTAAGAAAAATAAATGATGATGATGGCAAAATGGCTAATATTTGTGAGTGCTTGCTATGTGCCAGGTGTTGCACTTTAGGTGTTAAATTTCATTTCATTCTTATCACAATCCAATGAGACGGGAATGATAGTCATAACCTGTTTTACAGATGAGGAAAGTAAGGCACAGAGAAGTTGAGTGAGAAGTCCAAGGGCACACAGCTAATAATTGATAGAACCAGGACTTAACCCAGTTTTCTCTACCCAAAAGGTTTGAGTCCCTAGTGTCCCCATGGATATGATGACCAAAGTTGTGAATCCTGAAGGGCACAAATAGAAGGAACAAATCTCAGGATACTGCAGTAAGTGCAACTCAGAAGACCTGAGAAGAACCGTTTTTATATGTTTGGGTGACAACCATGACATCACCTTACTAGTTGTATAAGCAAGGTGGGGAAAAAAATGTAGAAACAAGGTTTAAGTGTATTCCGGGGTATTTGATGATTTCAGATATATTGAGTTAATATGAATTTCAAACAATTTAAGGTCTGCATTATAGCAGACCTCTTCTACATACTCCTGGAAGATATCCTTAGGAACTGTTGTGCATATTCCTGGAAGATATTCTTAGGAACTGTTGTCCAGGCATGAATTCTGGTCCAGAAGTCTGTTCCTCCTTAGGATTTTTTCAGTTTTGAAGATAATGAGATCATTCAGAGTCTGTCTTCTTCTGCTCAAGCTACTATAACAAAGTATAGTTATAGTATAACAGAAATGTATTTTCTCACAGTTGGAAGGCTTGAAGTCCAAGGTGGAGGTGCAGGCAAGGTTGGTTTCTGGTGAGGCCTCTCTTCCTGTTTTGCAGATGGTGGTTCCCACAGTGTGAGCTCTAGGGTAGGGAGGGGAGACCAGAATAAGGGGGAGAGAGAGACTGAAAGATCAGTCATTTCGAGTGTCTTCTTCTTCTTTTTTTTCTTAAAGAGAGAGTGAGAGAGAGAATTTTTTAATATTTATTTTTTAGTTTTCGGCGGACACAACATCTTTGTTTGTATGTGGTGCTGAGGATCAAACCCAGGCCGCACGCATGCCACACGAGCACGCTACCGCTTGAGCCACATCCCCAGCCCTTCGGAGTGTCTTCTCTGATAGGGCCTCCAGACCTATCATTTAAGCACCACCCTTATGAGCTCTTTTAACATGAATTACCTCCTTAAAGGCCTTATCTCCAAATACAGTCAGCTTAGGGGTTAAGCCTTTAAGGTATGAATTTGTAGGGGGACACAATTCAGTCCCTAACAAGGTCTCATTTCTCACCATCTCAAAATGAAATCAAACAGAATAGACACACCAGAGGGAGTATGTTTCAGGAAGCATCTCCAGCTCTCCATGTGAAGATACTGTGTCCTGGGATGTATTTCTTGACTGTGAGTCACAGAGAAGTGTGAGAGTCTGTGGCGGTTCCTGCAACCTAGTGTCAGAAGCCCATTTTATGTCTGGCTGACTGGGAGCCAGAGCTGGAGTTAGGCTGGTCTTTTGATACCCTCCCTGTGTGTCTGGGCTGGTGGAATCCCCCAGCTCAGGATCCCATCCATCAGAGGGTGGCCAGGGTTTCCACGGCTTACGGTACTGCTAAATCCATCCATTGGGTTCTACAGGTGACGTGTTGGTCGTCCCCATCAAGCTGCACAAGTGTCCTTTCTGCCCTTACACTGCCAAACAGAAGGGCATCCTCAAGCGGCACATCCGCTCGCACACTGGCGAGCGGCCCTACCCGTGCGAGACCTGCGGGAAGAGGTTCACCAGGCAGGAGCACCTGCGGAGCCACGCCCTGAGCGTAAGTGCCCCGCCCCCGGGCTCTTCTGGCAGGGGCAGCTCCTGATATTACGTAATGTAAGGGTAAAGCAGCTTGTCTTTCCCTTCTCTGCTCTCTGAGGTATTGTCAGAGAATTTTGAACCTATTTCTCCTACTGAATTAAAGCTGGGCTGGTAGCGCTTAGAGAAAGCTAAAACACAGATATCAGACTGGTTTTCTTTCCTTCCTTCCTTCCTCCTCTTTCTTTCACTCTCCCCTGCCCCCCAGACCCCTTTCTGCTGGGAACTGAACCTAGGGGCACTTTGTCATTGAGCCACATCCCCATTAGGGCCTTGCCACACAGACTAGTTTTCTACAGAGAGAGAGTCAAGGACTTTTAGATCCTGCTTAGGAATGGTTGTCAAAAGGCAGAGAACAACAGGGCTTAGACAGGGAAGTGGGGATCTTCCCACTGGTGTGATCCCAGAGATAACCTGCATCCTCAGTTTCCCCTGGGGGTAGGGGAGGGGTGTGTTACCATTTATAAGGCTACCTGTAGGCAGCAAAGAGGGCTTTAACCCAAAGGTACCTCTCTTCTATCTAGCTGCCCCCAGGATTCTATTTTCATGTGAGCTGGTGATTCCCACCAGCCACAGAACCTTCCAGCCATTTAGAAAGACTCTGCATTTATGGTCATCTCTGAGCAAGGCAGTTACTCTTTGGAAAAGCCAAAATAAGGCCAGGGAATGTAACTCAGTGGTAGAGCGCTTGCCTAGCTTGCACGAGGCCCTGCATTCCATCCCCAGGACTGCGCCCCCCCCCCCACCAAAAAAAAAAAAAAAGAATGTGAGCCGAGTGCAGTGGTGCACACCTGTAATCCTAGCGACTTTGGAGGCTGAGACGGGAGCTTCAGCAATGGTGAGGTGCTAAAGCAACTCAGTAAGACCCTGTCTCTAAAAATTATACAAAATAGGACTGGGGGGGCTGGGGATGTGGCTCAAGCGGTAGCGCGCTCGCCTGGCATGCGTGCGGCCCGGGTTCGATCCTCAGCACCACATACAAACAAAGATGTTGTGTCCGCCGAAAACTAAAAAATAAATATTAAAAAAATTCTCTCTCTCTCTCTCTCTCTCTTAAAAAAAATAGGACTGGGGATGTGGCTCAGTGGTCGGGTGCTCCTGAGTTCAATCCCTGGTACCCCTGCCCCCCCCCAAAAAAAAGAATGTAAAAACCCATAGAATGAGATAAAATCTCTGCAAGGCACATGTTTGATAAGGGTCTGAAAAATTTAAAGAACTCTTACAGTGAAACAATAAAAAAGGCATAATTTAGTTAAACATGGTCAAAGAATTTGAGTAGGTATTTCTCTAATAAAAAGACATGCAAATGGCCGATGAGCACCTCTAAAGATGCTCACCATTATTACTTATAGGGTAAATGCAAATCAAAGCCAACGTGAGATGCTACTTTACACCCACTAGATGCTATCATTGTTGGTTGTCTTTATCAGTCTTTCTTGTCCCTCTCTCTTGTATGTATCCTGGTTCTCAGAGCTGCTGTACCCTGGAGTCCCTATAGAGTGCACACATTAGAAGGACATTACCTGGGACTGGGGATATACTTCAGTTGGTAGAGTGCTTGCCTCGAATGTACAAGGTCCCGGGTTCAATCTCCAGCACCACCAAAAAAAAAAAAAAGAAAAAGATATTTCCTTATACATACCTGTAATCCCAGCTCCTCGGGAAACTGAGGCAGGAGGATGGCAAATTCAATGCCACCCTGAGCAACTTAGCAAAACCCTGTCTCAAATTTTTAAAAGACAAATAAAAAGAGCCAAGGGTTCAGCTCAGTGGTGGAGTGTTTGCCCAGCACATACAAGTCCCTGAGTTCAATCCCTAGCATCAATCCTAATCAGTTCATTGAATGCCCTTTATGTGCCAAGGACTAGGAATTCAGTAATGAATGAGATAGCTTCTGTCCCTGCCCCTTAGAGCCTACAGTCTACTGAATTTTGTCAATGATTTATGAGGCATACAACAAAGGAAGAAGCATAGGTGAGAATATATAGTTAGGTGGCTCAGAGCATCAGGGACAACTTTCTTGAAAGGCATTAGGGAACGGCGAGGAGCTGGTGATGGGAAGGGGGAACACTCCACACACATCCTGGGGTGGAAGGACCTCGGTGAGACTGAGACTCTGCAGAGAAAGCAAGGGGGAGAGGACATGAAGTGAGGCTAGAGGGTCAGGCAGGGGCCAGATCACATGGGGCCTGTGGACCCTGGCTCAACCCCTTTTCTGTGATATTTACTGTGTCTTTTTATGATCATAGGTACACAGATCTAACCGCCCAATCATCTGCAAGGGCTGCAGAAGAACCTTCACGAGCCACCTTTCTCAGGGGCTGCGGCGCTTTGGGTTGTGTGACAGCTGCACCTGTGTTACAGACACTCATGATGACGATGACGATTTGATGCCCATCAACCTTAGCCTTGTGGAGGCATCATCTGAAAGCCAAGAGAAGAGTGACACAGACAATGACTGGCCAATCTATGTGGAGTCTGGCGAGGAGAATGACCCTACCGGAGAGGATTCTGATGACAAACCACAAATTCGATCCAGTGCATCAGAGCGGGAGACACTGACATAGCAATAAATGGGTGGGGAAGACATCTTAGAATGCACTCTTGCTCATTCTGCAGCAAAAGCCCCCCATTGGTTCAATATTGTGCAACCCTGGGAGGAACTTTTTTTGTTTTCATTGTTATTATAATTGCATTTTTGTTAGGCTACCCGGTAGAGGCCGAATTTTGTGATTTAAGACTGATAACTTTAAAAAATTTATTTTTATTTTATTCATTTATTTATATGTGGTGCTGAGAATCAAACCCAGTGCCTCACATATTTGAGGCAAGTGCTCTACCACTAAGCCACAACCCCAACCCAAGACTGATAACTTTTTAGTGTGGTACCCTCCATTTCTGAGGGCTTTGCTGACCACCCCTTAATTCTGAGTGAATTGAGGGTAGCCCAGAGTTTTCCTGTTTTTCCTGCTGTGCATCCAACCTCTGGTTAAGAGGAAGATAAGAAAATCCAGATGCTTGTTTTCACATTGTCCCAATCCTCTGCATCCCTTTTTTAACATCCTTCTTCTCCAGTAGACAAGACTACATTAAGTTTGGGATCAGTCTTCCCTTTGTCAAGCCTGTCCTAAAGATTTCCACATTTTAATTTTCTGGCAATGTATTAAAGGGAATGTTTCTTTGATATAAAACAGACTGACTGCATGATCATAAAAGGTACTCCAAAACTATAGTCTTAAAGACTGGGAGTATTTGTGTGCAGAAAAGCCTGGAAATGAACTGAAAGGTTCATTAGGGCATCCCACGTGCCCAGTTGAATTATATTTTATAATATTATATTATAATTCCCAAGAAGGGAGCTGTGAGTCAGGGCTGGGTGGTTTCCCTGTCTGGTTTGGTATTCAGCAATTCTAAACACACAAATAACCTGTTCTGAGATCATAAAGCAAGTTACTTGGGCAAAACTCAAATTGCTGCCCTACTTGTTCCAGCCATTTCCAAAGGACATCTCTATGTAACACAGAAATGAAGCTTCCCATGACATTTCTTTCATTCTTTAACTTTGTCTATGCCCAGAACTTTAATTGGAAGGAAATTATAAGCCCATCTAAACAAGTTCTATTTCTGAATCATTTATCTTTTTTTTTTAGTTGTTGATAGACCTTTTTATTTATTTATTTATTTGCGGTGCTGAGAAAGGAACCCAGGGCCTCACACATGCCAGGCAAGTGTGCTACACTGAGCCTCAGCCCCAGCCCTCATTTACCTTTTAAAAGACCCTCTCAAAGGAAAGAGAAAATTAATTGAACAGGTTTTGAAGCCAATCTGCTTTTCATCTACGCTGCAGCTATACAATCATTCTAACAAAAGAGGCTGAATGTCTTTAAAGGGTTAAAGAGCATACTCTTTAGGAGACATTAGGGACAAAGGATGTACTTGAATGCACTTTCAAATTTTGTCTTAAAGTATCCAAAATGGATTTTTTAAAAATCCCTTTACCTTTAATTTTTATACAGTGTGTTTCAAAAGATGTAAAATCAACTTTTCTTTCTGCCTCTTGAACAAAAACAAAAAATCAAGAGCAAGTGTAAATTGTAAATTGGCTTGTAGGTGTTGGTCTGGTTCTTGAAGGGTTAAAGAGGGCTTTTTTAATTGTCCTTGTTTGTTTGTTTGTGGTGCTGAGCATTGAATCCAGGGCCTCTTGCATGCTAAACAAGCACTCTACCAGACAGGACAGTCAGGAATTAAGAGTATATAGGAAAAAAAAAATTTTTTTTTTTTTTTTTGGTTCTGGGATTGAACCCAGGGTGCTTTACCACTGAGCCACATCCCCAGCCCTTTTATATTTTATTTTGGGACAGGGTCTTGATAATTTTCTTAGGGCCTCGCTAAATTGCTTAGGCTGGCTTTGAACTCACACAAAAAAACCTTCTGCCTCAGCCTTCCAAGTTGCTGGGATTATAAATGTGCACCTCCATGCTGGGTTAGAAACTTTTATAACACTTTGGTCTTGTGACAGCCACACATGTGATCAGTGGCCTATTATTCTTCAACAGGGTATGGGCCAGCTCAGGCATGGCCAGCTGTGAGCCATACTGTACAAAGACTGGATACTAGGCCATGCAAGCAGTCTACCACTAAGCCACAACACCAGCTCCTCAAAAAAGGGATTTTCACAAAAGAAAACTTTTTTTTTTTTTTTTAGGTGTAGATGGACACAACACAATGCCTTTATTTTTATGTGGTGCTGAGGATCGAACCTGGGTCCCGCCTGTGCTAGGGGAGCACTCTACCTCTGAGCCACAATCCCAGTCCCGCAAAAGAAAACTTAGTGTTTAGACTTGTTTTATAAGGACTTATATTTAATATTTTTATTTTCTTTTTAATTTATTTCTGATTTTTTTTTTTAGATGGGGGTGATCTCACTATCTTGTCCAGGCTGGCGTTGAACTCAGGACCCTCCAGCCTTAGCCTCCCCAAAAACTGGGATTACTAATATGTACTATCACACCCAGTTTATTTCTGATGTTTTGTTGTTGTTGTTGGAGGGTACTGGGGATTGAACTCAAGGGCACTTGGCCACTGAACCACATCCCCAGCCCTATTTTGTATTGTATTTAGAGACAGGGTCTCACAGAGTTACTTAGCACCTCACTTTTGCTGAGGCTGGCTTTGAACTCGGGATACTCCTGTCTCAGCCTCCCGAGCTGCTGGGATTACAGGCATGTGCCAACATGCCCGGCAATTTCTAATGTTTTAATACTACTTTTCTGGCCTGGGGTTGTGGCTCAGCAGTAAAGCACTTGCTTAGCACATGTGACGCCCTGGGTTCGATCCCCAACACCACACATAAATAAATAAAATAAATGTATTGAAAAATACTACTTTTCTACCTCACAGTTCAACTTCTGTCTGCCTTTTCTAGGAGAGCCTTGATTCTCTTCAGTGATCCTGTAACCTATTCATATCATTGGGTAAAGTTTCATTGTAAGACATTGATTTTCAATTGAGAGTGATTTTGCCCCACAGAGGACATTTGGCAATGTCTGGAGTTGTTTTCAGTTGTTAGGACATGGGGCAGGGTGCTGCTGGCATCTAATAGATAAAGACTAGGAATGCTAATAAACATTCTACAACGTGTAGGACAGTGGCCTCACAGCAAAGAATCATATAGTTCAAGACATCAGTAGTACCAAGGTTGAAAAATTGTGGGTATTTGACAGCTTGCTGTTGCTGTGATACAATGCCTGAGAAAAAACTTAAAAGGAGGAAAGATTTATCTTGGCTCACATTTGGAGATTTTAGTTCATGGTCACTTGGCTCCGTTGTTTCTGGGCCTGGGTTGAGGCAGAACGTCATGGTGGGGAGGGTGTAGTGAAGCAAAACTGTTCACCTCAGGGCTGCCAGGAAGCAAACAGAAGAGGAAGGTACAGGGGACAAAAACATAGCCTTTAAGGGCATGCCCCCGCCCCAGGACCTACTTCCTCCAATTAGGCCCCACCTCCTAGGGTTTTTTTTTTTTTTTTTAACCACTTCCCAACAGCCCACAATCCATCAAGTGGATTAACTAATTATGGTAGTTAGATCCAATCACCTTCCAAAGGTCCCACTTCTGAACACTTTGCCTTGGGGACCAAGCCTTCAACACACCAGCATTTGGGGGACATTTCAGATCCAAGCCATAACACCCTGCTGTAAGATATGGTAAGATTTTTTTTTAAATGACCTTTAATGTGTGAACTTAATTTTGTGTTCAGTTACTGAGGCCAGATGGTTCACAGCTTGGTTTAGATTTATGATGCGGAAAGTTAGAAATCCTGACTCTGATTCCTATACCCGGAACAATTGTCTCTGTTCATTTTTGTTAAATTTTAAAGTAGCAGAATCATTAGGAGCAAAACAGAATGTGAAGCTTAATATGGAAAAGATTTTCTTCCATGATATCTCAGGTTGTGACATTCCTGGTCGACTGTCTGGAGTTTGTGTGTGATACACGATATGACCAGTCACTGGGTATAACTGGATTGCTGAATTTTTTCACTTTTAAAGGAAATACTTCCTTTGGA